TTATATATATTACATATTACAATTACATATTATAATATTACATATTATCACTTATGACTTTGTTAGTAGGCATAATGAATGAAGAAAGTTTCAGATACATCTATATTAGCATTTTAGTTCAGATCAAGTGTGTGCTGTTGTAGTGAATGTCCCAATTATTGCTGCTGTGATTCGCTTTGCAGAGTTTATTTGCTGGGTTACTTTAATTTTAAAACTAAAAACCTCAACCCCATGCAACTAATGTGTTCCAAGTGCAAATGGGTATTTAATTCCAGATGACTCAACTAGAGGTAATCCAAAAAATCCATGACATACCTACAGTGTGGTCACTGGGTCCTCAACAACAGCTGTTTCACCCCACAGGTCCATTGTTCTCCTACCGCAGAACTGGCTGATACAGATACAGCCATCAGAATCTTGCTAGAGTTAAGCATACTGTGTAGTAGGAAGAGTGGTATTTCATGTAATACTAATTTTGCAGTATATTGCATTTTAAATGACCTTTGGTGTGAGATTCAACACAAATTTTAGCATAAAATGTATTTTAATTGCCTTTCTTCTAATTTTTTAGCCATGCACGGAAGTTCTTTTTATTGATATTTTCCATGAATATAATCAGACTCTTACCCCTGTGCTCTTAGAAATGGTTCACAGTCTACAAGGTAAGTTCTTTAAAAAATAAAGGAACTGTAAAATGTAGAATTTTTTTTTTGCTTTTGTCAACTGTTAAACAATTTTACCTTGTGATACCTAATTTTATATCGTGCATTCACACTGTATTTTTGAAAGGATATGTTGATATTTCAAAACTATTTCTAAACCTACCGTAAGGAAAATGCAAGAAGACGAAATCCCAAGGTTTCTTTACTTTTTATCATAACTATTTTAGATGACTGCCAGAGATTGGGGCATGAGGTTTCAGGCTTTCTTGAGAGTGGTTGACAAACTTAATAAATTCTGTAGGTTGGATTTTACTTGGAACTTCCTGTTCAAATGTTGCAAGGCAGTTTATTGTAATTCTGCTGTGTCTCTGCAAAAATCCTGGGGGAAAAAAATCTTTAAAAGAAGAAGTTCAAGTTACACTCATTTTGGAGAGTCTAGAGGACTTTCAAAATCTGAAGAATCTGCTTTAAAAATGTAGTGTTTTACTGTATGAAGACTGAAGTCTTCATAGACTGAGGAATGATTCAAGTTTTCTTCACCCTCAAACTTTTATAGTGGCCATGAAAGATAATGAGTGGTAGCTGCCACTTTGTTTTCCCTATCTATTCAGCTTAGGTTCTTTTCCCAAGTTGTATCTTACCTGACTTACCTTATGTTGTATTTGTACTTACCAGAATTGATCAGTGCATTCTATTAAATAGAAATAAATACTCATTTTCTGAAGGTGGTTTCTGACTTCAGAGAATCTCTTTATAAAATATTTTGTGTACATAAGTTTCAGGGTGGGCTTTCTGTGATCTGGGAATGGTAAAAGATTCATTACAACAGCATTGACAGTTACGTTGTTTTCCAATAATTATGGCAGTTAATACTTCCATGCTAAAAGACACATATACACTTTTTTTTATTTTTTACTCCTGAAGCCCCTAGTAGCCTTTTCTGGATGTTTTCAACTTGGGAGTTACCATTGATGTACTAGATGATATTAAGAAATCATTAATTCCTAACATTTTTGAAAATTTGTACTTACACATTATAAGTACACATGCACACACATATAAAGTATGCTTCTGACTTGCATGTTGTTGTTAAAAATGTACAGATCCAAAGAAATCAGTCAAAAATAGGGTATGAAAGCAGAGATTTGATTTTGGTATATTCACTGAAGAAGGTATTGAAATGGAAATAACTGAACTTGTGAATAAAACAAAAATAACAAAGCAGTCTTAATTCACAGCATACTTAAAGTGTAAAAGTGCAAAGTTGCTTGCATTCTTGGTTTTAGATACACTTTTTTTCTTTATTTTAACTTTGTCTTGTAGGGTCTACCAACATGGAAGATACCAGTGCTATACTGATTAAAGATGCTGGTAAATTAAATTTACTTTACCTTTGAAGTAACAGAGCTGCTTTTGCGTATGTGCTTGACTTCTTAAAAATTATATGAAGAATTTGCAAGTTTTTATAAGACATTTGGAAAGTAGGACATAAATTCTATTTCTCCTTGCACTTGGTGTCAGTCTTCACTTTTCAAAATGCATATGTAAAAATAAGGTGCTTTTTTCAGGTTTTTTGTGAAACAAACCCTTAGACAGTCTCCCTTACTGTCCTGTCCTTTCCTCTCTGCAAATAAATGAGCTACTGGGTTTCCATGGAGATGCTTTATCTATTTTACAAGTAAGAAGATTTTATGGCAAAAGAAAAGAATTGTCTAAGACCTCTGATGGAACCATTCTTAATGTTAGAATAAGATCTTCATTGTTCTTACGGTTTTTAACTATTTTCAAGAGTCTGAATTTTCTTCTGTAATAGCTTTCTTTTACTAAAATTTCTTCCAGAGTTGCCTTCACCATGATCTGATAATATCGTTCTTCAGAGAGATACGCTTTAGTTTTGTTTTCTGTATTATGTTCAGGTTATCAAAAATTTTTTTTGAAACTTAAGTTAGTCTGGTTATTTAATATTGGAAATTAAACATTTAAGCAAACAGTAAGCATAACTTTTGTTTTTCCCCAGTGTATAATGCAGTTGGACTGGCTGCTTATGAACTATTTGATAGCGTGGATTTTGATCAGTGGTTTAAAAATCAACTATTAGCAGAACTACAGGTTTCTCATAACAGGTAAACACCTTGTTTTGTTACTCCTTCATCATTTAAATATGAACTGTTGATACAAATCTGGTAAGATATAATGTCTAATAATTGCAGAATTGAAAATTAATATTTAAACATATCCATTAAACGAGCAGAGGTATGAAATATATACAGATAACTGGTACAGTCACAGAAGTGACAGTGTTCCTGACAGTTTCTATTTATGTTTAAATTACTGTGTGGTGGGTACTTCCAGGGTTCTGTAAAGATATTGTAAGTCTGTCCTCTTGCATGTATTTGAGCTGACTAAACTTTCTCAGGGCAAACACCTTTGCTCGTTTAGAGAAAGATCTTTAGGCCTCCTGAGACCCCAGAGTCCTTTAGGCAGCAAAGTCCAACTGAAATATGTGGAAATAATCACTGTAAAACTGTAGCTTAGCCAAAATAGTGAGTTGTTCTTCTCAGGGGTTTAAATACAAACCCTCTGTAGTACTTTTCACTTAATTTTGCCAGCACTAAAGTGAGGAAGTAAGGATTTGGGTTGTGTTTAAAGTGTGAATGATTACAGGCTGGTTCTACATAAAGAGTATTATATAGCCCATCTGCTGTGGGTTTTCCTTCTCACCAAGGTCCCCTTCACTTGGCTGGCCCTCACATGAGTACCTTTCTGTCGTTTAGCGGATATCATAGGGTATTTTGAAAGATCGGTTTTGACATCTCAGAGTAGTCCATCTCCACCACTGACTAGAAGACGGTGTTCCTCAAACTTCACTCTTCCCTCAGGGGAAAGACAGTGATTGCTATTGTATGAGCTAATCCTGACCAGAGGAGTTCCCAGTCACCCTTTGATTCTGAATAAGTATGTCCTGTTTTTCTCATCAAAGTCATTGGCAGTGACCCTAATGTCCTTTGAAGAACTTTACTATCTTGTCTACATTTGAAATTCTTCTTACCTGATTATTATCTGAAATACAAACTAATTTGTTTGCTAATACCCTTAGGAGCGACTATAAATTGTAAATGATTTTCCATAATGTGTTGCCAGCCAGCTTTTTTTATTTCCACATGTCAGTTATAAATACTTTCTTTACCAATACAGTTAGTATTTACCAATACTTCAGAGAAGAATTGCCATGGTTGTTTACCTGGTGTCTCCTAATGTTTTTACTCTTTTTCTCATTTGTCATTGTTGTTGTATGATCTCTCAGCTCTACCTTGCTATCTACCAGTGGCCAAGCGCTCTAATCGTTAGGCTAAATGTCAGAAGAGGAGGGAAAAATGAGAGATCTTGTATATATGATTGATCCTTTGTTCTTGTGCTGCACCACCATTCACCTCTGAATAAAGCTGCTGTTGTATTTGTAGTGCATGCTGGATTTGTAGCATGTGCTGGCATTTTTATAATATCCACCCGTATAGCATAAGTAAAACTGGCAAAAGTCTTCTGTGGTTGATATAGTTGTATTCACAGTAGGGAAGACGCCTGCACTAACCATTTGGTTGGCATGTGTGATATCCCAGGATGAAATTCCCGTGGATATAGACGCTTGTAGTAGAAATCCTCCAGAAGTTTGAAGCCTTGTTTGGTTGAAGTATTTCACTGGAGACCACCACAGCAATAAGGGAGACAGTGTTAGTAGTGTGAATGTTTTAGATAAAGTGGATTGGAGAGTATGATCAGCTGTGCCACAGATTGTCCCATGGTGTTTAGCATGCTTGTTCAGCAACTAGTTCATGTTTGGGAACACAAACCTGTGTGTTGTCAGCAGTGACCTAAAGTTTGCTGTGTTTTGTGTTCTTTGAATGTTTTGTCGTCTGTTGATAGTGAGATTGACAGCTGTGACCATAGTAGTAGGAGAAATATGAGATTAATGAAAAAATACTCTTAAAAGATTTTCAGAAACTTTGCATTGCCAAATTTATCACTTACCATAATATTTGGTTTTTACTGAGTAAGGAGAAACTCTTCTGTAATATGAAAACAGTTTACTGAATACAATCTTTTGCAACAATTCAA